AAAAAATATGCAATTTTACTTGTTTATTAGTTAAATTAGCAAGCAGACTGACAAAAATGTTACTAATAATGATAATGGTAATAATTATGTTTTTAAACTTATTGTTTTAGAATTACATAAAGTTCAGTATTCTGGTTACAATAATTAAAAATCTCTTTTAATTATATTTTCATATATTATACTCAGGTGAAAACTGCAGTAATTCTAGAGTAAGTAGCTTCTTAAATGTTACAGACTGTATGCTATCTCTCTATTCTGCAATAGAGTTCCTTTGTCATACAATGTTTCTAGATATTTTATTAGGCTTTAGATCTTTTAATCAATATGATACATTATTTGTAAACCCATTATTAGAGTATTCTATATCAGAAAAAAAGTACAATTTAGAGTTTAGCTAGATTTTTAGAACTGAAACATCAATGATTGAAGCTATGTTTTTAGTACACAATCTTTGAACTTTGATAAAATATCTGTTCAGTATTTATATTGAACTTTAAAATATTAAAATGCATATTTTTAATTGGCTTGTTATTATGGAATATTACTTCACATTTTTACAATAAATTTCGATAATTTGCATTAATTTATATTGATTTATATTGAAAATATTTGTTTGATCTAATTAGTTTTTGCATTATTTTATTTATAACATAAATCTTATTAAGATATCAACACTTCTTTCTTAAGTAAAAAATGTTTCTGAGTCGATTTTATATTAGTTAAACTAAAAAAAACAAAATTTTATAAAATTGTCATTTTTATCCCTTTTCACAGCATCTAGCCCATATATCTAACTTTATTGTTTACTTTATAAGAGAATTTTGGCTTTTACTAACTACTTTTTCTATAGTTCCAGAGCTTTTTTAAACTGTTATTACAAAGTAATAGCTTTCTTTTTAACTTCAGAAAACTTTATTTAATATATTAATTATATCATTTTTTTATAGTTTACTTTTTTGGAAAGTTTGGTTCAGATGATTATTAAAAAGAGTTGTATTATTAAATTGTTTATTAATTAATTAAAAAATAAAAAAATTTTATTAGTAGTATATATCAATTTTAGATAAAAATTTTAATATACTATATATAATTGTATAAAAATGATCTATATGCTCTTTATTCTTAAACATATAATCTGTAATCAAATTTATAAAAATTACCAAGACTTATTTAGATTTAGGTGTAAGTAATAATATAAAAGAGAAGAATATAATATTTAATCTATTAGATAATCCAAAAACTAGTTTTAGTAATAATTTGTAAAATTAAAATAGAAAGTAAAGTTAAACTAAAAAAAAACTATAAAGTAAATCAGTAAATAATATAAGTTGAAATTGTACTGAATATGAGATACAATAAGAAATCCATATTTGTTTATATATTTTTTAGTTTAAATAATAAGAAAGTTTAATAAAAAAAAAGATAGCAAGTAGTATAATAAAGAATAAAGATATTATGAATAGTAGAAATAAAATCAACAGAGACTAGACCAGATAGTATAAATATAAGAGAAGATATATATAAAAAGTTGTATAGTTTAAACTATTAAATGACTAAATTTTTTTTTGTAAATCAGAAACAAAATTGCTAGATATATTAAAAGAAATAGTGACAATTTCATAAGAGTTTAATTTTTCTTAATATTTTTTTATTTTTGTTTGTTTATTAGTTTTCTCATTTTTTACCAATTTTATCACCTCTTAGCAGTTTTACCAATTTTGTTATTTCAGCATTTTAATTTTTTTTTGAAATTAGTTTTTACTATATTTCTACTCAGTAGGTATGAATTGTACTGACAACTTTAATTTAAAAATAATACAAAGACAATTAAAACTATAAGCTTGAGGTAATGTCTAATCTCAAAAGCTCAGTTAAAAAAAAATTATTAATATATGAAGATAAATCTTAATATTTAATATTAAATTTTTTGATTAATCCAATTTTCAGTTTATTGCAATTAATCTTTGAATTACTTTTAGAGGTTTCTTAATAAATGCCTCATCATTTGTTTATATTTATAGTTAGAATAAAAAACATGTAAGTGAATATATATCAAAACTATACTTGGATATATATATATACTGGCAATTATAAATAATATAACAAAAAAAAATTTAGCCAAATTGTATTATTTTATGCAATTCTGAGTATATTTGTTAAATTTTTTTTTATTTTTATTTGCAAATAGCAATATTATTATTAATAATAAAAATTTAAAAATTTAGTGATCAAAAATTTTAAAGGCATAAGCTTTATTTTAATATATGTGTTGCATTATTTTTACTTATTTTAATAATAATACAATTTTAAAATAAAAAAATTTTTTTAAATAAAATAAAAAAACTTTTTTTTTTAATAATTTTTAGTTATCAGGCTCTAATTACATTACAGATTTGTTTTGGCATTAAGAGTAAGAGGCACATGGATCATTTTTATATAGTTATGTATGATATATTAAAATTTCATTAAAAATTGATATATATTATTAATAAAACTTTTTTATTTTTTAATTAATTAATAAAAAAATTTTATAATATTACTATAGTATAATTTTAATTGTATTATATTCTTTTAAAAAAATATATAATAAAGTTTACTTAAATAAGTTAAAATTTTCTTAGATAGTATAAAAATAAAGAATTTAATTAGTTAATTTATGTAAACCTATTAGTTAATTTTATTTTATAATTTTATATTCTAATCTTAAAAATTCATATTTCAATAAGTTTTTAATATATTTTAATAATTTTACTATTATTAGAATTAGAAAGACCTATTCTATAATTTTTATTTAATAAATAAAATTAGTTTACTTAATATAATTGTTTATAAAACTATATATAAAAAAAAATTAATATTAGGTTTATATATAATTTTAAAATATTGCCCTTTATCCTTAAATGAATTAAGTTTATATAAGTTTCAATATCAATTACCTGTCAAACTATCTGAATTTTTTTTAAAAAATCATTTTTGCTTGAAATTTGACTAAAGAGATCTCTAAGACAATAATCAATTTCATTCTACAAGTGTTTGATTAGGTTTAGATTAACTAATTAGGAAGATTAGTCAAAAAACTTTATTTTCTTTCTTATAAATCAATATTTGATCAAGATTACTATATGACAATATGTTTCATCTTGTTGAAAAACAATTTTGTTAACTTCAAATTCATGATTCTCAATTATTTATATTAAATCTTTATGGAATATTTTTAAGTACAGATTTATATCAATTGTATCATTAATTTTATAATAGTTACTAATATCATGAGAGATAAAATAATCTCAAATCATAATTGATTTGCATCATATTTCATAATGAGCTTAACATGGAACTGATTTAATGATTCTTTATGATACTTCTAATAATACTACTTATCATCTAATTCAAAATTTGAAACCTTGACTTATTTGACCAAATTATTTTAGACCAATCTTCAACAATTCATTTTTTATATTTTTTTTACAAAAATAAATTATATTTTTTGATGACTATTATTCAGATAGAATTTTTTTTTTATTTCTAATACTAAACCATGGTTTCAAAATATCTGACAAATAGTAAACATAGAAATTTCAATATCTTCATTTATTTTAAGATGGATCCTCATTTCAATAGCATAGAATATTAACAGAAGGTAATTAAATTTACTATTCTTTTTTAGGTTGGTTTATTCAATAAAGTTAGATAACTAATCTTTTCTAAATCTTCAAGAGTATGATTTGCTAATCATTTTTTTCTAATTTATAAGACTGTAAAAAAGTTAACATAATAAACCTAACCTACTGCTCTTGTGATGTACCCTTTTTGAAGAAAAAGCAATATTTGAGCTTATTAGACAAAGGTTGTACAGTTCTTTTTTTTTTAATTTGTAAGCAATTCTAACATTATACAAGATGCAGAATCAACAATGAAACTTACATTTTTATATGTATTTATGTAGCACAACTCACACGATCTGATCTTTGTCAAAAACGATCAAAAATAATGCAACACGTGATTTGTAATAAATTCACAATTATCATCGCATTGGTAATAATAACGACTATTAAAATTTTGCTATTTAAAAAAGATAGTATTTGTGAATAAAATAAAATAAAAATTTAACAAATACGCCTGGAATTGCGTGAAATAATACGATCCAACTAAATTTTTTTTTCGTTGCATTATTTATGATCGCCAGTGTATTATATACTCTAAGCATGGTTTTGCTGTGTACTCACCCATGTGGTAAATCAGTTTACTAAACATACAATGAGTTATTAGAGATTGTACCAGGTAGAATCATCGTTACATGACTACCCTAAATAGATGTTAATTTAGCTGGATAACCCAGCTAGTCTAATAATGCTTGGGTAAAGATTATTTATATTCAATCTTCATGCGTAATAAAAGTAGAACATTACAACAACTCTTTTCCTGGTCTATTTCATAAAAATTACGCGCAGAATCGGTCAACAATTGGTTCAATACTCAATCCTAAGGATCTCTTGCAGTAGAGGTGGCATATACTCTGATTGATAATGCATTCTATTAATGTTGTCACCTATACTGCAATTGGTTTCCAAAAAAATTATAATATTAATCAAAATTAGAAATTCTTTAAATGATATCATTTGTTTTTTATGGTAAATAAAACGGTCAAATATGCCCCACTAATCCCTAATAAATATGGAATTTATTAAACTGAGCAAGGTCTTATTTACGTAGATAGAGAATCAAATTTATCATTAGTGAAATTAATTGTTACAAGTTTAACCAATTAACATATCAATCTGTTAGTAATAAATAAGCAATGCTTTAATGCAGAAAATATTATGGAAGCCGTCATTATTAAAAGAGGAAAGTCTTGCGATGAATAATATTCTATTTTAAATAATCAAGAAATTTATAGTAATAATAATTTTTATAATATCAGTAAGATACATAATTATAATTAAAGTTTTAAAAATATCTGAATATTTACCTAGCCTTCAGAATTTCGTTACTAGTTGGATTCATTTAGTTTCTTCCTTATGCTTTTCTTCCAATGCTTCCCCTTTTTCAATCTTAACAATTTTTGCGTCATCTTCATTTTCATTAACTTTGTTTGCTTTTTCCTCTTCGCTGATACCGACTTTTGTATCTTCTTTATTTTCATTAACTTTGTTTGATTTTTCCTCTTTACTGATACCGATTTTCGCATCACCTTTATTATCATTGAATTCGTTTGAAGTAGATTTTTCCTCTTTACTGATACCGATTTTCGCATCATCTTTATTATCATTGAATTCGTTTGAAGTAGATTTTTCCTCTTCACTGATACCGACTTTTTTACCAAATTCTGCTGCCAAAGCGTCAACATCATCATCAACTTTTTCTCCAGCCAAGTCTTTAGCAAATTCCTCTTTCAATAGTTCATGACCTTCCTTATGAAGCTTTAGTAATTCTTCCTAGAGTAATAACAAGTATTAACCATTAAAATATAAATGTGAAAGAATGATGAAGGCAAAATTATATTACCTTCCATCCTAACAATTCAGCTAATTCTAATATACCATCATCACAGCTACCTCCATAAAACGCATCTCTACGAATTGGTGAAAAAATTCCATCAAAATCAAACCCACCTCCTGTATCATACTTTATAAAAAAATTATATAAATAAATATCAAAAAAAAAAGCAATACTTGGATAAATAATTATGTGAAAAATGTAATAGATTGTGTACTCACACATGCAACTTTTTCACGATTAATCAATAATCTTGGAGTTTTAAAGGTTACATAATCAATCAGCATTGCAAACGGTTGAACTTGTAGTGAAGTACCAGCAACTATAAGAAGGTCACAGCTATCGAAATCCTAATTTATTATCAAACCGATATATGATTAGCAATAAGACCTAATATTAAACTTATTATTAATTTAAAAAATAATTTACTTTCATATGGAGGAAAAATTTTTGAGGCAAATTTTCTCCAAAGAATGTAATACAAGGCTTAACAATTCCTTCACAAATCAAACATTTTGGTACTACACCACTAAAAATAGTTTCCTTCATCCATTTAGGATCAGCTAATTTGTCACAATCAAGACACTTAGCCTTAGAGAAGGAACCATGAGCTTCAACTACGGCTTCTTCAGGTAGTCCCGCAAGTTGTTCCAATGTATCAATATTTTGAGTGAAGCAACGGAGTAGAACATTTTTTTGATGGAGGAGTTTTATGAAATAATGTGTTAATGTTGGCTATTTAGAAATATAAAGATACTTTATAAATGAAAATAAGTGATAATAAGGTGTTAGTCAATAAAAACAACCCAAATTTTTTGATCTTTAAAAAAACTTGATTGATCATAAAAAAATTTGTATGATTTTTATTGACTCACTTCTAAATATACGAGAGGAGTAATAAGTTTACTTACCAAAAATTTCGAAGGATATAATTCTCTTGCTAACTCAAAGAATGGTTCAGGATTTTTCTATAAATAAATAAACTCAATGGTCATAAGCATCATTTTATAACGATACTGTATTGATATTAATTTATAATAAATTACTTTAAAATATCTGATCTCAAAGATAGATTCAGGTTGAGGTAAATTATATTTAGCAAGATTGTCATAAAGACCAGTTCCAGGAGAACGGAAGTCAGGTATTCCTATAATATCAGATATGTTATAGCTGTGCTACTTTCTTAATACATAATTAGTATTTTCAACAAGATTCGAACCTGCAGCAGTAGAAATCCCAGCACCAGCCATAAAAATAATGTTTTTTGCTATTTCAAAAATAATAATGATAATAAATGACTTTGATACGATCATTGCTTTATAGAAATAAATATTTTCGACACACACCTTTACCGGATTTAATCAATTCTGCGATTGTTTTAAGGCTTGGCGCTGCACTACTAACATCATCTTCTCCATTTGTATGTGCCTTTTATATATAATAAATTTAAATCTCGTAATCTTGAAAGTAAAAATTTAGAAATGATAGTTACTTTTAAACTAGGATCGTTCGACATCGTTGACTTAAGATCTAATTATAAATATCGATATATAATTCTTAAAGTCCAGATGATGCCATCCGGAATAAAGCTAATTCAGGTCCTATATATACGTGCGTACGCCTTAACGGGTCACACAAAGCAGAAAATTCTACTCATGTGATTCAATAATCGTAACACAGATAGGAAATGAATTCTGAAAATTTATACGTAATGACAGCATAAGTAGGCATAATAAAAAAGCATTTATGTGTTTAATCCTTATATTTTTATATTTAACAAGTATTTTCAATCATAGTGTTAGATGCGAAGTTGTTATTTGGTATGTCTAAAATTATAGGTACTGTAATCATTAGTGGATTCCAAGAATCTTTCAAGCTGAATAATATACATTATGCAGCATTAGTGGATTCCAAGAATCTTTCAAGCTGAGTAATATACATTATGCAACACTTCAAGCGTATCAAAATACAGTTACCTTCTATACTTGAATTAGTTATATTAGGAAAGTTTGTTTTTCATAGTTAAATAATTTTTTTTTTACCTTTAAAAATCTTCGCTTATACATATAACATATAAGTTGTAAAAAGAATTCTCATTTAAATTTGGGAAAAATTGTACTAATGAGGACTTTTCAAATAGCATTTTTACTATGTTGAATTGTAAATAGAAAAAATAAAATAAGATTTCTAAATTTTAAATTTGATCTAATAATAATTCTTTATACAACTTTATAAGGCGGATTTAGTTAATTGGGCCTTTTTACTTGCCCTAAAAGTAATGAATTTAACGATAATGATCCCTAAATTTTAATGTCAAATGATCTGTACATCTTACAAAGCACCCTCAAAATAAAAAAAAGGGGAAGTTACAAACAAGGGCCCGGAAAGTGAAAATAATTACAAATACAGGCCCAAATTAAAAATAATTACACATGAGGGCCTAATTTTTAAAAAATATTACATATAGGGACCTGAACTACTGTGCCACAAAGTACCCTGACCATTTGACTTATAACAATTGCAAAATCGCGATTATAAGATTATTGATTGTTTTATTATAGGCATTTAGAGTTATCTAGATATCAATTATTAGATAAAAAAATAAATGAAACGCTGGCTACAAACATTTTCGCTTAACTATTGTATAAAAAGTAGTGCTAAACTAGCACAATTATTTATAAGACGATGAAATTTCAATAGAGTAGCTCTCAAGAGCAGAACAATTATCTTCATCTTAGTAAAATTATTCCAATTCGCAGTGCTTTACTTGATAACATAGTGGTTGTTATAACAATATCCGATTTTATGCAAAGAAATGAAATTTATTACTAATTTACAATCTATCGTTACATTTTTTATGTACTTAATAACTACATTTATCGATGCTTATATTTCTTATGCTAATAACGATTAAGCCATAGACTTGAATAATGTCACTGTTATTTTGGGCCCTTATATGTAATATTTTTTAAAAATCAGGCCTTTATTTTTAATTTGGACCGTATTCGTAATTATTTTCACTTACCGGGCCCTTATTTGTAAATTCCCCCAAAAAATCATTATAAAAGCTGCGTCTAACTGATTACCCTACACTTTTACCGAGAAAAAGGAAAAAGTACTGATACCATAATAAAAAACATAATTTCGTACGTTACGTACGTACGTACATAATTGTATATCAGATATCGTTATATAATGAATTTATTAGCTAATTCCACTCCAACTAGTTGGTCAATACCCCAAAATTTTAGGGGTTGTGTAAAAATCCGTCGTTACGGTTATTCTAATTTCCAGTGAATTGTTTCAGAATAAAAAAAAGAATTCACCTGTTTTGAACGTTTACCATCGCTTACCGATCCGAATAATATCATATGTCAAGTAGATTACAATCCTAATGACTGTATCTCAATGTTTATTAAATAAACTATGAATTATATAGCTTCATTTGTCCATCGTGAATAAATGTAATTTATTTTGAATCTTTTAGTTCGCAATAGCATAGTATTAACGTCCAAATATATCATCAAATTGCTAGCCAATTTAATCATAACGTTATCATGGTTAATTGTCTTATTTCGTGATTAAATAAGTGTTTTAGAGTTATCGTTCATTATTTAGAATTACGGTCAGACCTCTCTATAGTTACTTTCTCTATAATCTCGTTTGCTTATAATCACAAACTTTTAAAACCATAATGCATATAAAATTTAGCCTTTATATAACCACAAAAATTCTGACTGACTGACCGGATTTTTGAAATCCATGTGATGCAAAATGAGAAATTAGCTCTGTGTGGACTAATGTGCTTACTTCTCCAAGCTACCATGTATGATATCCCAGTCCCCATTTTTAGAACGAACACAATTTTCAATATCACAAGGTCGAAGTATTGCTATATCTTGTGTTTTGAATGTATTCATAAGTTGGATTATCTTTACGCTTGTTAGTTGAAATAGTAAAAAGGCATGAACTGGTTTCATTTGTAAAACAAACAGCAACAGTTTACTCGGTTTGTTCATTCATAACTTAGAACTCAACAGAATAACAGTTTACTTGGTTTGTTCGTTCTTAACTTCGAATTCAATAGAATAATTTTCCAAGGCTGAATGAACATTTTCCAAGTTTGTAAAAATCATACTGATCTGTAAGTTTGTATCTAACGTTTATGAACAGGTTTTAAGAAATATATATATAAGAATTTCAATTAAATAAATTTACAGCGTGAATAATGGATTGACGAATTGAATGTACCTTTTTTATTGTGCATTGGAATTTATATTCGAATTCCTAATTGATTATTATTATATTTCTTATGCATTAACAATCAATGATTATATTACGATTCAAATTATCGAAACGGGGCTAAATCATAGGTTTTTAAGCGTATAATTATTTTGGGCCCTTATTTGTAATAAATTTCAAATATCAGGCTCTGTAATTATTTTCATTTTGGGCCCTTATTTGTAATTATTTTCGTTTTTGGCCCTTATCTGTAAATTCCCCTAATAAAAATGCTATTTGAAAAACTCCTATTTATTTATAAAATGCGCGATTTTTTTGTTAATTTTGAAATTCTTTTATGATAAATTTTGTTTAACTGATATGTTTGTTACGCATTATTTTTTTTAAATTCTATCAATTATTAATTGTCATTTTTTAATTTCACTGAATGAAAAGTGACTCGGATCAATTCATACCGTTAACGCAGACCATGAAGCTTAATATAATTATGTATTAAACTGATATTATAACAATGATAAAAATACAAAAAAAATTAAATTCGAACAGCTCTTTTAATAATTCAAGAATGTTTCCCATTCATAATGTTAAGATCATCCAATCTGTAATATTCAAGAACATCACCTATAAATTTAGTATGTGTTTAATTATGCTATAATTTACTTTTTAAAAATTTTACATCGATTGCAAACCGATCCATTGCATTGGCTCATCACAATTCTTGAATGTGTGCTAGGTTTATGGCGTAGCAAAATTCTTTAAAGTTCGTTTATGTTGGCTTATGGGAACAAGAGGTGAGTAGTTTCACATAGTAAAATTGCCTAACAAAAACTTTTATTAGGTGATTTCTTATGCTGTTTTTGAGAAGTAACGGTAAGCGGTTTTTGACAAACCGGATTTATTAGGCCAAATTTTGAGTTACCGGTGATTTTATGTTACACGAATATTACACTTGATCTTGCGATCTACATAGAAAAATTTTCTTTTTGGGTTTGTATTACCTACATTACCGATCGTGTTACGGTACACTTGAAAACCAGGAGCGGAGGAATGAAATCACAAAGTGTATGGCTTATCGTTATACGGGTTTTAAATGGGATCCATCCGCGAAATCTTAAGTTTGATTGGTCTATATGATTTATTCATAAAATTTTGGTTATTTTCACACATGAATTCATCACACATATAGATCAACGGATATACACGTGCATTCGGATATATATAATTTGAATACAAAAATGCGATAACTAACGATAGTAAAAGCAAGAATTTTAGACTCAAAAATTGGTGTCCCGATACAGTTTAATTTGTTTATTTACCTGATTTTTAACAGTTTTCATTTTTTTTCACAGGATTTTTTATTGGGTTGATTAAATGATCGTCAAAGGCAATAGCGAAATAATTTTTCAGATAATCTAATAATTTACTATAATACCTTGTAAACTTTTGTTTGATTGTCTAATGCGAGTCAACTGCCCAGTAGTGTATATCAAATGCTTCACCATATATTAATGAGATGCTAGATCAGTTCTCGTTTATACGTTACTTGGACTATTTGTTAACTACTATATTTGCTTTTGTTTCTGGTTTCTAGCGCGACTGTGTCACGCAGCTATCTTACTTAATTGTTTTGCGCCACAATAATAATACGTGTCTGTACTTCTTTGAAGAGTAGTTTTAGAGATGACATGACCAGATTTTTTTTTTTTTTTGACATGATCAAACTTCGTAAAATCTTCGATAAATGTTTTTTTTAAAAAAAATAGATTGTTAGAATTTATACAAAAAACTGCATATTATTGTGCAGTCATGTTATTGACAACAGCACTAAAAATTTTCATTTGTATAATTTAAGCCTACATATTTTTTCTTCATTTTTATGACTTAAAGTTTAATGATCTTATGCTAAAAAAAGGCATGTCTTGAGTGTGTGCCAGGCTCGCGGCGCAGCAAAAGTCCATTAAAGCTCTTAGGTTAGAGTCAGGGTTAGGAATTAGAAGGATGTAGTTTTTATATTAAAATTGGCCAAAGAAAACTTTTTGTTAAAGCACTAAAGTGTTTTCTTATGCAAGTTTTTAGGAACTAAGTAAATTTTGACAAAATGAACATTTATTTTGAATTTTCTTGATCGTGTCACGTTCCACCTGATCTTAAAATTCGATTCGTAGTTCAGGAAATCTTCGCCACAAACTGAATGAATGAATGAACCGTCGAAGTTACACAACTGATCTTCACCCTGTGTGCACATAACATGTACTAGCGAAATGATCTGGTATTGTGAAATAATTTTTTATATGTAGCGCACCGGGTAAATGACAGTCTTGTAACATCGACGGTTCCCCCTGTTGGCTTAAACTATACAAATGAAAAAATAATATAATTGTTAATAATTACTTCGCCCAAACTATCGACTAAGTCAATGACATAAAAATCGGCTTAGTCAGTTTATTTGACTAATACAGTAGAAGTTCTCGTTTACAGTAAAATTCTGTTATTTAACACCACTACAATTAGACTAGAATAAATAGTTAACCATATTCTAAACAGGAGTACTCAAAAATTAATTACAACATAATTTTTATGCAATTAATTTCGTGATAATGTAAAATTTTAAAAACTGAAAAAACTAATTATATTCAAATACATTACGCTACCATTAACTGTAGCCATACCTAAATAATTCATCATTACAGTGGATTTGTAAAATACCGCAAAGTTTGAAAATTTTGACCACCGATTGTGAGTCATCTAATCAATAGGATATTTGACTTCATGTGTTAACTTATATATTATAATTATGATCAAACAATGACATACATATTAGAAAAACGTAACAAAGCTAAAGTTATAACAACAAATTTAAATGGATTATTTCAACTTTACAGAAGTTTAAAATGTGTTGCCATAGTGGGAAAATGAGTTTGATGCATTGCTATTATAGATCGGTGTGCCAATAATGTTTTGATAGGGTTTAATATTAGAAAACCAAATAATACAAATGCGCCGTAATATATACAGTAACCGTTGTGGGACCTGAATGGACCCTGGCCGTTAGGGGTCCATTACTAAATTAGGAAAAGGTCGATCGCATCCGTCGCATCCGTCGCATGCGACCGATCAGTCGCATCTGACGGATATGACGGATAGCAGCGATCGGTCAGAAGTGTCTTTTAGGTGATATCAGTAGGATATGATACATCGGTCGCATCAGCGATATCAGTCGTATCCATCGTAAGAACAACTTCCCTCTTTGCAACTAATACGTAATACTTGATAAATAATAAAACGGACGTCTTTATTAAAAGTAATCGCTAAGACATAATCTGTCTCTAACTTGTAATTACATAAAGTGCGCTAGTACATTTGTCCTATAACGAACCCGAAACCTCCTTCGCCAGTAGGACCCGACTATTACCAAGTTAACCACTCGCCAAATCTAACACACCTCTTTGACCTAACATAAACCCTCCTAAGTGGTTACACGAGAAATCCGAGTGTGGAGCGACTGACTCGCCGTTTTACCTTTACACTGTTTCTTTTTTTTGATTCTCGCAGTGATCTGGAAAAACATAAATTATACTGATATTTGTCATCATTTGAAGGTCTAAAAAAGGATCTTTGGAGAAACGTAAATTACACTGATGATCATCATTTTGAGGTCTAAAAAGGTATCTTTTTGATTATTGTCTGAAAGAACATAAATTACACTAATGTCTGCTCTTCCGTCATTTGAGGTCTAAAAAAGGCATCCGTGAAACATTTGATCGGAACTTTGGCACCGATATACATACCTACATACTTTTGTAAAGGAACGTTGTTGTTTGTACAATTTGCAAATCTTGTAAGTTAATTCAAAAAAGCAATTATCGGATTGCTTTTTTTAAACTACAATTGTTGATGTCAAATATCAGCAATTATTATAAATTTTATCAAATCGTTACATTTTACAAAAATTGCAATTAATTGCATTCACCTGATTCTAAAAAGAAACTTGATTATTAAATAATAATCTCGAACGGAATTAAAATGAACTGTAAACATGAATTAAATTGTTCAAATGATATTGAATTATCAAATATACAAAATCTACACGTTACAAATTCAATAATGTTAATTTAAAATTTCGAAGTCCGTTATGTCCAAAGAAGCCCGTTATAGTAAGCTTTTGCTGTAATTGGGTTTATAAACAAATCCGCCTTCATTCATGAACCAAATTAACACAAATAAAGAATTAAAACCGAAACTATAAAAGGTTGTACTAACGAATTAAATAACGGAAAGTGCCAGTCTGTCCGAATATGGAATTATAATGTACATCTAGTATTTTCTTGCTGTAACTTATAGTGGGAACTTCACTATAGCGTGAATGTATTTTTTTATCATATTTTCTTGTATTTCTACATATGAGCCACCTTGATTTTTTGGCGAAATATAAATAACAAACGAAATGTATACAGTTAACTTTCATATAATGAACTGACAGTTCATTATAGTTACCGAACTCTAATAAATTTTTTTTTTAAAAAAAGTTCATTGTACTCGGATTATTATGTGACTGCGTCCTCGATTAGTGGTAACGCGCTGTCTAGTTTTCTATAACGCTACGGTCGCATAATTTTATATATATATTACTTTTGTGTTTTCTAATTCAACGTATTATGCTACACTACTCGTATTACTCATTATAAGGCGAAGCTAAAGTATAATTCATCCGTTAAATTTACTCTTGTCCATAGAAGGTTAAGCTATCTGAACTTTTAAAAGAAGTAAACCGTATAAAAAAAAGATCTATCAATTGTGCAACCATATCAAAATCATCTACGAATTTGAACGGTCGCTCCTGTTTTTTTTGGAATAACGTAATAAACTACTTGTATCGTGGTGTGAGTAGACAAATTGCGGATCAAATAATATTGAAAATGATTTATCCTCACTAAAGTCAATTCGAGATTTACATTATAAAAACTATTTTATTTTGGATTGATCTTTAAATGAACTTTTAATCAATGTGGTGTATCCATAACGAAAGTCTGTACTTCTATAATCTCATTTTGTGAACATCAGGGTTTAATTTTATATGAAAATTTCTTATTATTTATAAAAGTCTCGAAAATGAAAGTTCAAGGTCATAAGATATAAATAAGACCAAACAATTAGCCTGAAGAATCAAATTAAAAAAAAACTTTATTATTTCTCTCAAACACCTATCTATTATCATATAATACGTTATTTTCTTTCTATCAACTTACCAATAATCTCAAACAAATAGCATTTATTTAAAAACAATGAGATTCCTGATCACAATTTTTGTTCTTTTAGCCTCCGTTGCTATCCTTGCTCAAGCATCACTTATTAAAGAACAACGTAAGCATCTTAATTGATTCCTTTATTAAGCATTCTATTGCATTTGACTAATTTCAAACAAAACCCCCATTAGAGCATATATTAACTTTTTTATATCCGTTGCTCTCATTATTCAAGGTATAGGTTCTGAAACTCCGTATACTAAACTCTCGAAATTTCACACTGCGGCTGTATACAATTTAAATAATGACATAAAAGCATTGACGAAATCACTTGATAAGGAAACAAGGAAAAAACATATGGCCTATATACAAAATCTTTACAATGCTGTTAATAAAGTGCAAAATGTTACAAATAATTTTTTGAGTCATTTTGGTAGTATTTAACATTTATAGACTTTAATAATTCAATTTACCTTTTATAATCGAGAACCTTGCGTGGCAGTTATGGAACACTATTGCTAATAGACCTTAAAAAAAATTTTTTTTTTATCATATATGCCTCTTCTTTAATATAATAAAACTTATGTTTATTGCTTTTTTTTTAACTAATTAAGCCAGAAATTACAATTAGATATGAAATTATAATAATAACATATTGCCAATTATCAATATTTTTTGCTTAATCGGAATTAAAAAAAAAAAAAGCGCAATATATAGTTTTTAATTGAACTATATTAATATATAAACAATATAAACAAAGTTGGTTTATTTTGGATTTTAATATATCTCTGTCTCGCATATTTGACCTTTTTTCAAACCCAGCTATACATTTTCATGTCGGAGCTTTATTCTTTTCTCTATTTTGTATCAAATCTTTTTTTTTTTTTTATAAAATACGTATGTACGTACAAGTAAATAAGATTCACGCGATAAACTGGTTAGTTTAACTAACCTAGTTCGGCCTGAGTGGTGATGATATGGTTAGTCAACTCGAATTGCTTAACATTAGTATTATGGTTTGTTTGTTAGTTAGGCTGTATGCGATATGAAACTGAAGTGGTAGCTCAAAAGAGCAAGACTTAAAAATGTATAAAAGTATTCAAGTATTCTAAGAGTTCCTGATAATACAATAAATTAGTATTGTAATATTGTGAACCTTAATAATAATGTTCCATCCGATTCATTCAAGATTAAATGTAGAGTTCACTTCAGAGTTACGGGAACCAAACTGCTCTAATTTTATAGATAAACCATCAATATTTATTATGATAAGGTAGTTGCGCGATGCTGTATCTGTAATGAAAAAAAAGGTCCTTGCTAAGATTTGGAGTACATTTTAGCTTATCGCTATCTCGCTTTTTCTCAAAAATCACATGTAAATTGATTTTAAAGTATGGATATTGTTAGCTAATTAATGGGGAAATTACTGAATGCAGAATGAGGCAAAGTTATTACTATACAAGTGAGAAGGCTAGCAAGACGACAAACTCACTATTAAAACTCAATAATATCTATTCTTTGCTCTAATTTTGTAGGGTTGATAAAGGCATGAATACAAGTATGAGTTATTTTTGTTTACTGCGACGGTGCGGACTATATAAATTAATTATAATATCGCGCGAAAAATATATAAACAGAGCATGTATATTTAAAAAACTATATTATAATTTTTAGGTTAAGTCAATTATAAATGACCCTTTCCATTTGCCACTGCGTTGTGACCATAATACGGGTATTACAAATAATTATTAACTAATTAATTTATATAAACTAATTTGCCAATGGTTATTTGTCATGTCCCATGATTGGTCACATCCAAGTGTTATACGAAAGGGTCATATAAAATAGACAATTTTTAATTATCTAAATCTAACCCTAACGTTTGACCTGGAATAATTATTTATCGGTCAGATTGTCATCTGGGACAAATTGTTACAACATGGCCCAAGTATATAGCGATAGTAGACATCACAAGCGCGAGAATCGTACACAAAAAAAAAAAAAATTTAATAAATCTATATTAGTTTAATAAACTTGCCAGATAACGATTCATATAAAAGGTATGAAAGTTAACAAAAATGAACAAGTTCAGACACTCGTTAATAAATAACGCCAATTTTTTTTTCACTGCCAAAGGTAGTAAAACATAACCGGTACCTGTGTACCTTTAAAGAATTTAATACCGTATAAAGCTAGTACAAAAATCTTGATCTTCATTTGGCGTAAAGCCTGTTATAATAAATATATTTTTCATAATTATTTTTTAACGTTGACATTAAATACATTCCTTATTATTATTTATCCAAAACATCTCGATCTCTAAATCAATGAATTAATTTAGCATAATTCACGATAATTAGACGATAATTAGCCATCACATAATTAAATAACTACGAGTGAAAAGTCTGAAATTACAAAATTAATTAATAGAATGCAATTATCGTTATACATACGTACAGTACATACCTGTTTGTAAGTAATGTATGTTGTCGTTTGTATAGGCTATAGGTGAAGCCTCTTAAAGAATTTTTTTTTTTTTTACGAACTATACATACTATCTTAATCTCTACGTGTTTGCCATATCGATATACTCAATAAAATTTCATGTGACGCTGCACGTACTAAACATACTGTCCAATAACATGCAATGTTTTAGTTACGAATGTACGTAAAGTATGAAAATTCTTCTAGTACGTTTCACGGCATTTTCACCTTATATATCGATATGTGAGCTAAATCCAATTTTAATCGTTATCGTTATACATACTAAAACTTTAACAATCTTTCAAGATGATAAAGTTACCAAACGAATGTTTTTTTGAAATATTTAATAATTTACGAACCGATTATAAAAGCTTATTTTCATGCCTTCTCGTAAATCGTCAATGGTGTAGAATTATCGTACCAATATTATGGAGTGAACCTACTGAGTATTCCGATGATAAAAGACTTATAAAAGTTTATCTTTTATCATTAAATGCTGAAGAACAAGCTCTTTTAATCCCTTTTAAGATTATCCTTCCAAATTATCAAGAACCATTATTTGAATATTCAAGTTTTACTACTTCCGTTGGTTTTGATTTAACTTATGGTGTTAAAAATTGGCTTATTGATGAAGGTTATGGTGTTGATAGATCTTACGATTCAAATTTTATTGATTGTTATTATGAAATTGATGATGATGAGCCTTTAAATGCCGTTAAATGTTCCTTGGTTTCAATGTTTTTACGAACTAGTAAAATACTTAAATCTTTATTACTTAACAGCACTATTAATATAACTATATTTGAAAACCTTTATGTCAACAATTCCATTATATATTTATATCTTTGTTTCAATCATTTTAATTCAAATGAATTAAAATTATTAACAGATATTATTAATAAGAGTACTACTTTGACTTATTTAGATCTTTCTTTTAATAATCTTGGTTCGGAGGAAGGAAAATCTTTAGCAGAAGCTCTTCATAATAATACTACTTTAACTTATTTAAGAATTGATGATAATCAACTTGGTTCTGAAGGAGGTGAAGCACTAGCAAAAGCTTTTTGTGACAACACTACTTTAACTTCTTTAAATATTCATAATAATCAACTCGGTCCTAAGGGTGCAAATGCATTGGCAAAAGTTCTTTGTGGAAATGTTGCTTTGACTTCTTTAAATATTTCTTATAATCGTCTTGGTTATGAAGGTGGAAAAGCAATAGCAAAGGCTCTTTGCATAAACACTACTCTAACTTCTTTAAATATTTGCAATAATCAACTTGGTTCTGAGGATGGGAAAGTACTAGCGGAAGCTCTTTGTAAAAACAATACTTTGACCTCTTTAAATATTTCTTATAATCGACTTGGTTGTGAAGGTGGAAAAGCTCTAGCAAATGCTCTTTGTATTAACACTACTTTAACCTCCTTAAAAATCTACAATAATCAACTTGGTTCTGAAGGTGGAAATGCATTAGCAGAGGCTCTTCATGAGAATATAACTTTAACTTCTTTAAATATTAGCTGTAATAAAATTGGGTTTAAAGGAAGGAAAGCTTTGGCTGTGGCTCTTGGTATAAACACTACTCTAACTTCTGTAGATTTTTCTAATAATCAATTTGGGCTTGAAGAAGGGAAAGCGTTAGCAGAATCTCTTTACATAAACACTACTCTAACCTCTTTAGATATTTATAATAATCAACTTGGCTCTAAAGGTGCAGAAGCATTAGCGGAGGCTCTTTGTAAAAACACCACATTGACTTCTTTAAATATTAGTAGAAATAAAATTGGTTTTGAAGGAATAAAGGCATTAGCCAAAGCTCTTTACATAAATACTACTTTAACTTCTTTAGATATATATAATAATCAACTTGATTTTGAAGGTGAAAAATTATTAGCCGAAGCTCTTTGTAAAAATAATACTTTAACCTCCTTAAATCTTTCTTATAATCAACTTGGTTGCGAAGGAGGTGTCGCGTTAGCAAATGCTCTTTGCATAAATACTACTATAACTTCTTTAAATATTTGCAATAATAAACTTGGATCTAAAGGAGGAAAATCATTAGCGGAGGCTCTTCATAAAAATGTTACATTAACTTCTTTAAATGTTGGTAGTAATAAAATTGGTTTTGAAGGAGGAAAAGCCTTTGCTGAAGCTCTTTGTGTAAACACCACTTTAACTTCCTTAAATCTTTCTTATAATGATCTTAATTTTGAAGTTAGAGAATCCTTAGCAGAGGCTCTTTGTAAAAATTCTACGTTAACATCCTTAAATCTTTATGGAAACCAATTTAATTATAAAAATATTAGTACATTAAAAAAATCTTTTATACAAACATCAAGATAAAATAATTAATATTTGATTTTCGAAGAGTATTTTTTAGTATTTTTAGTCTATCAACTTTTAACAATAAACAAAATATTGTCTTATAAAAATGCTGTAAAACCTTGTTTAAGCTTTTTATATTAAAAATGCACTTGGAAAAGAATAGCTATGGTTCCAAAAAATTTACTAAATTGTTATTGCACTGAACTACAAATCATACCTTATCACGACTTCCTTTTATTAATCTAACCCGTACAAATTATAAAAATATATTCTCCGGGCAATCATATTAATTGTGACTTAATTAGTTGTGATGCAATATTTTTGATTAAGTGCCAACAGTGTTTAAAATTGGTATGCGGAATATGCGGTGCGCATATTAAAAATTTATTCCGCAAGTATTTTTTTTTAAGTACATGCGGATTCAGCAAATATAAAAAAAAAGGTTTCGCAGATTTTCCGCATATTATACAACCTTTTTTATTCCGCAGATTTAATATAAAATGAATCTACGGATATTGAAGATTAGAATTGATTGCTATAAATTTGTTTTAGTAAGTTCGGACATGTTAAATTTGAATAATTTAAAAAGACATTCTTAATATTTATATAAAACTATTCCTTGTGAACATTATTTTTTAGATTAAAGATGGATCAATTTGTTCATACAAACAAATAATAGACATAATAATTTTATAAGTCAAATATGACCCGGTTTAGTAACTTAGTAACTTCTAATTACTAGATATACTAACTTGACAACTCTGGTACGTAAGAAAGCTAATATGTATTTAATAACAAATAATCTGAGTTTAAATTGCTTTGTTGTAAAACCAGAGATGGTTTTACTAAAGATTTATTTTGGAATTCATGTGATAAGTAGGCAAATACTATTTTAATTATAAAAGTTAAAGATACTGATGAAATTCTTAGTGGATATAATTTTGTTGCATAGAATTAGTCAAGTTACTGAATAAATTGCTTTGAATCATATAAATATGCAATTTATAGTCACTTTGATTATTAGATGATTTATTGTAATTTGTGTCAACGAAGGACCATTATTGTGAAATCAGATGACTTTATGAGTCACATGTTCAAATTAATTGTTTTATCCTTTTATGGCTGTTTTGAAATTATTCCTGGGTTATCTTGTCAGGTGCAGGTATTTTCTGGTTATGATTACTTTGCATATGATTATTCTCATGTTGCTAAGGTGTTAGCAAATTAGTAATAAATTAAGGAGTAAGAAGTAAATTAAACTGGAAATAATAGAAGTATCGTATATAATCATATGAAGTCAGGAGGATAGAGCAGGTTTTTGTAGTAATTGTAAGATTTATTTAAAGTATTTTTTTGTTGTTAGAGAAGGGTACCTTTCTTTTTGCTATAGCTCGCCTTTAGTATAGGATGGCTCTATCATCCCTCCCTTCCCTCCCATATAGTAATGGCCTGACAGTTTAGGTTGACAAAAGGCTCTATGGCTGCCAAAGCAGTGCAAAGACATTATAGTAAAATTTTAGGCTCTGTGGTTACAAGAGCAGTGCAAAGACCTATTAGTACTTATGGTTCAGGCTTCTCAAGAACCTTCTGTTTTGGATAACCAATCTCATGTCACCTTTTTAGAGCTTTATAACCGATTCTCCTTTACTTATATTGTTTTCTTCTTGATGATTTTTCTATTATATGAGGATGCAGCTGGATCATTTTGGTTAAAATATTGTTATCTCTAGATAGTATATTACCTATGTGTTGTATAAAGCTCGATTAGAATAGTGAACAGGTTTTCTCATATGTTTTTCCATTTATCCTTAATAAAGTCATCTGATTAAGCAATAATAATAAGTTTATGTGAGTTTATTAATAAATATATAGTCATAATTTGTACAAGGTAGTAAAAGTCTTATTTATATTATACAGATTTTAGTGACAAAGTTTTTCTTAAACAAAAAATGAATTCATTTTTTGTTGAACCTGAAATAGTTATTTAAGTATAAATATAAGGCATTTATTTGTTATCAAAAATTTGCTAATATATGCATACTAAAGGAATTAGTATACTAAAAAATTAATGCTAAAAAAATTGGTGATGTTAGAAGAATTAGTGATAATTAAGATATTAGTAATGCTAGAAGTATTAGTAATATCAGAAGTATTAGCTAGAGGATTATATTAAATATATAAGGTATTTATTTATTATTAAAGATTGAGATGCTATAATCTTAAATAATTGTTATCATTATCAAAATATAAAGTTAAATATATAGCAATAGTATTTATTTTATTATAAAACAATCAGCAAAATAAGAACAATAATAGATTTGGAGCTAAAGGATAAACAAGATTATTAAAATTCTTTAAGATAAGAAAACCGATTATTATCTTTTTGAAGTAATTTTGATTAATCATATTAAATAATTAATTAATGAAATTGATAAATAATTAAACTTATAAGAGTAAGTAATTTATGATGTAATATTTATTTTGAATAAAGAATAGTTTTATTGTTTATCGATATAAATAATTAGAACTGCTAACATCTGAAAAGTAAATAACTTATTTATAGAATTAAAATATCTTCAAAGTTGAATTTAATAGCTTGCGATATCAAATTATTTTATAAATAATTATGGATAAGTTTGTAATTCGTGGTGAAGAAGCTTTTTTATTAAACCAAAAATGTAACAATAATATAAATAAAGATAGTAGACTTTCTCCAAGACCGGCTAAAGAAAATTCAAAAAAAAAAAAACCAGATGACAAAAAACATAAAAGAACTGATTGGAACCCTGAATGGCCAAGACAGTTTTCATGGTTAGACTGACGTATTATTGATGGAAAGCCTCTTTTATTTTGTATTTGGTGTGAAAAATATCAAACTGCTGACAATATTTTTGTTAAAGGTTGTGGTACTTTTCGAAAAGATTATCTTAATCAACATATTAAAATAAATAGTCATATAAATGTGATAAAAGCTTATTATCAACCAGCAAATCAAATAGATTTGTTTACGGGATTTACTACACAAGCTGATTATAATAAATTAGAAATTATTTCAAAGATGCAATGTGTATATTTATGTACACAAAAATATCTTCCAATTTTTGCTTATCCAAATATTATTAATTTGATGAATTTAAATCTAAAAAATCAAACTGAATTAGTATATAATAGTGAAATTCAAACTTTAACTCCTCCATTTTTTGGTCCAAAAAAAGAAAAATTAGTTATGAATTTTTCTGAAAACTCTTCAAATTATGTAGAATATACTAATTTGGTTTCTGGAACTACATTTTTACATGCAATTGCAATAGTAATTGAGGAATCAGTTTTAGAAGAAACAAGAAAATCATCAGCCTGGAGTTTGTTAATTAATGAAAGTAATACAATTACATATAATAAAACTTGTATAATTGTAAGCAAACATGTAGCAAATAATATTCCTGTACTTCAGTATTTAGGATTAATTGAATTAAAAGAAGTAGATGCAATAGGTATTATGAATAATTTAACCAATTTTTTTTTAGCAAAAATATTAGAACCTTCAAAATTATTACATTTTGGAAGTGATGGTGATAGTAAAATGATAGGTTTGTATTATATATTTTAACTTTATTTATTAGCAAATTATTAATTATTATAATTTTATTTAAGGAGTTCGAAATGGCATTGCTACAAAACTTAAAAAGTTAAATCCTTTTATAAGTAATTGTTATTGTATTGCTCATCGATTAGCTTTAGCAGAAAAAGATTCAGCAAATGATGTACCTTATTTTCTTGATTATGAAATTACAATTAAAGAACTTTATGTATATTTTGCTAATTCTCATAGTCGATAACAAAATCTTCAAATATTTCAAGCACAAGATAAAGAATCTCTAGAATTAGCAATTTTGCAAGTTGTTTCAATTCGATGACTTTCTTTATCTAATTCTGTATCAAATTTGTACCAGATAATCTTTTCTGTAATAGATGCACTTCAAAATGATGTAATAAATAATTCTACAACTAAATCATAACAATGTGCTCAAAATTTATTAAAAGAACTTGATGCTGATTTTATTTTAGCAACAAAATTTCTTGCAGATATTTTATCAATAATTTCAGCATTATGTAAAATATTTCAATCCAATTATGTAACTTTTTCAAATATTCATCAAGAGTTAAACAAAACAATTTATTCTATTACTATTGAATTTATTGTATATCCTGATGAAAATATTAAACCAACATTAGGAACACATTTACATGATTATTGTATACAATATTCAGTTGATGTAATTTCTAATTTTGTTAAAGAATTTGCTAATGCAATAATTATTAATTTGAAATACTGATTTTCTAATACAGTATTATATAATGCTATATGTATTTTTGATTTTAAACAAGTTCCAACAACAATACAACAAATGAGTAGTTTTGGAGAAGAAGAAATTGTGTATCTTGCAGAATATTATAGTATAGATCAAATTGAAAATGGTCAAGTATTTTCAGCTCTTATTAATAAATTTGAGCTTATTAAAGAATGGCGAATTGCTAAATTAATTTTATATAATTTTACAACTTTTTAATTTGTTGAAGGATGGGTGTTTATTTTTTGTACTACTCAATTTATTACTCAATATCCTAATTTAATTCAAATTATTCATTTAGTATTTATAGTTCCTGTTTCAAATAGAAATGTTGAACATATATTTTCTCAACAAAATTTAATTAAAACAAAACTTCATAATCTGATGAAATTAAATACACTTAATTCTTATTTAATGATAGTTATGAATGGGCCTTCTTTAGATAAATTTAATTTTAAGAAAGCATATGAATTATGAAAACGTAGTACTAGAAAAAAATAGTAGTTAAATTTTTTCTCTTTTTTTTTGTTTATATTTTATAAAGTAAAATTATATAAAATAAAATTTGTATTAAATAAAATGTTTATAAGTAAAAAATTTTTTTCCGCATAAATTAAATTTTTTCCGCAAATATATTATTAATTAAAAATGTAATTTGCAACTAGTATACTAATTCCGCAACTTTTATTTAAATAATAAATGTATATCACATATAATTTTAAAATCTAATTTTAAACACTGAGTGCCAATGCAAATGCATATGGCAGTGCATAATCCATACACAATATTGACTATAGAATACATAGCAACTACCATTATACTGCAAATAATAAAATAATCGTAAATAAATACAGTGAGTGATTGAGCTGATCAACTACTGATTCATGAATTAAATTCAATTAGTACTTTAATCATTTGACACAAGCAGCTCCCTCAATGTAATTTGCAAGTAATAGAGATCATCAACAAGTACATTTTTAATATTTAATTTAAAAAATTTTCATAGTTCTATATAGAAATATATGTATACATTATTCGGCAATTTATGATCATGAGTCATCAATTGAGTTTTAATTTGAATAAATATGTTTATGATCATTTGGTTTATAAAGTTTTTATAAGGTTCAATAAAAATTTACATGACTTTACATATTACTGATGATGCAACAATTTTGTCAAAAATTCATTGTACGAAATACGAAATTTAAACTTCAGCCAATCAAAATAGCTCTATGAAAAAAGATGGTTGTTTGACCGAAATGATTAAATACGATCCAATTTTTCAGCCAATCAGATCATTTTATCAACCATTGAAGAAGGTGCATGGGAACAACATTATTCGAGTTTTATTAGTCACAAAAATCAAGTTATTACTTATAAAAGAAAATGTATCTCACTTTACGATTAGAAAGGAATGTTTAATTCAAATTTTATCTATATGTAAGGTATTTGATTCGCGAGTTAAAATCTGAATGATTCAAACTATGACAAATTTGAATTACTCTCGAATTACAATTGACAAGCTCAGTCACTAAATATAGTAACTTAAAAATAACAGATTTCTAAAAACGTTCTTTGAATACATGCCAGATTGTGATGCATTAATAGCCAAAGTAATTTGTGCCCTTTAAAAATTTTAGTGATTTTTTGATTCATAAAAAAATCCACCTTTTTTATTAGGATTAAGTCATTTAAGTGCTGCCAGGGCCACTTGGTTAAGTATATTATCGATTATTTATCTGACCTGCCTTTCTAATCAATGCATGTTGGGATTTCAATTATATAGTTCAAAATTGTATATGTATTGCTATATTGTACATCATGTTCATTTAATTTAAAGACCGATGTTGTCGATCAGGTAAATAATCAATAATATGCAATCATCAATAATATATTTAAAAAACCAAGTGGCCCATTTCCTTTTGCAGCACTCATATGAAGATGGATAGTATCAAAAAAGTGAGCCTGCTTTTTATAAATCAAAAAAATGAACCCTGAGATCAATTTATCTGCCTGAAAATGACTACTATAGTCAATTGACTTGGTAAAAAAAAAAAGATTTTAACGTATTACGGTTAAATTTTATTTAAAATTCAAAATTATTTTATTTAAATAATCATCTCATGATTCAGTAATTAGAATCGGATGATTTTTGCCACCATTCGATTCGTCACGATAAGACAAATCAAATGGTGGCAAAAATCGTTCGATTCTGACCACTATATCATGAGATATTGCAGATGTACCACAATACCCATATTTACCTTATATATTTTTGCGTTACGAACTAAACCCTTTTTTGTCAGATTGGATAAAAAATTAATGAGCCGCTCTGCAGGAACCCACCATGGCGACCAAGAGTATTTCAAGTCACATAATGATTAGCAAAAATTTAGCCAATGGGAAATTGAAATTTAATGCAACGTAACACGATCAGGAAAATTCAAAACAAACTTCGTTTTGACAAAAAACCAAGGTTTCACATAAAAAAACCGCTCTTTGCGTTCTAATAAAAACTTTTCCTTGACTAATTTTACTATAAGTTTTTAATTTTAAAACCCTGAATCTAACACTAACTTTAACAAACTTAAGAAATTCGAAATTATTTTGTCCATTATCACGTGACCCGGGATTTTCTTGGTCGCCCTGGTGGATTCGCTCTGCAGACCAAAGCTGAGTTGTTATCTAATTAAAATTTAATTTGAGCTAAGCCAAGCCATTGATTATAAATAATCTCTGCGGCATTATTCTAAAACTTAATTAGATTCAATTACAAATATACAATAGACCAAATTTTATTCTAGTTTTCGTTGACAGTGATCGAATTTAGACTGTGGTTAATGGTAGCATGATAATAATTTATAATTTACGCCATTATAATTAATATTATTTAACCTGTTAAGATACAACATTTGAACCAAGATGTTGTTATGGGTAAATCCGACCCAGGACCATGAGAAACGTTGCGTAACGACCCACGAAATGCACCGTGAAAAACCATCGTACCACGATGCTCGCGACCCGAGATAAATCAGGTTCTTCATTAAGTGACAGCGCCGATCCCATTGACGAAAAGCAACCCGCCCGATATGGAATACATCTGTCAAGGTAATATTACCTTGACGGGTAAAGTCTGAGGCCGTGTTAAATGCGTTGTCATATGTTGGGTTGAGTGTCGTTGTGGAAGGAATCGAAGTTCAATGAAAAATGATAAAGTAATGACGGTTGGATTGTAGGAAAAAGAGGAAAGTATTTGCAAATAAGGGTAAAACGGTTTGTGACAATGAGAAAAGGGTGCCCAAGCCGTGTTCGAAACTCCCTACTTTTTCTCTTGCAAATTCTTTATAAAAATGGTTTGAATTTCCCCTCTTGTCTGGCATTACCTTGTATCATATCATATCATAGTATATTGTATTGTCTTGAATGATTATAAACTCATTTTAAATAAATAATAAACAGAAATTATAATTAATAAAAAGTGTTAATTTGTTCTAATCCAAAATAAAATACATTTCTTTAATCTGTATTACATTACATTTGAATCTTTTTGTAACATTTTTAAAAGTTGTTTTTGACCTTTGAAATACAGTGTTAGATCCAATAACATAACAAAAGTACTCTGCCAAGGTCTTATATAAAAATGAGTATAATGATCAATTTCTTGATATAAATATCCTAGCAATTAATCACATTAATGTGATTAATTAAATAAATTAAAGAAGTAAGATTTAATAAATAAAGAAGATTTATTAATAAAGAGATATTTATTAAATAAAAGAATTTAGGTAAATAAATTAGAGAAGTCAAATTAAATAGAGAAATGAGATTAATGTAATTAAATAAGTCATAGTTATAAAAATAAAAACCAAAATGACATTTAAGAGCAATAGTGTTCTGTTTGTATTATTAAATAATAAGTCACAAATACCTTATATTACCTATAATAAACACTAATACTAATACTGATATAAACTCTATAAACATCTATAACATCATTGTTCATTCAAGTTCTTGAGCATATAACTTATTTGACTTGTCTTTGTAGACTTAAAGTAATTAAAAGTCTTAATCACCCACTAGTCAAATTTAATATTCTCTTTCAAAAAGGTTACCTATCATTTGTTACAAGAAAATTCAGATTGTAAAGCAACCAAGTTACCAGAATTTGCCTACAATAATAATAAGAAATTCAAATTTTATAATATATTTATTAATTAAGATAAAATAAAAATTAATAATAAGTGTTATAGTTATTTTTTTAGATGATAAGTTTGAAATAGTAAAGATTATTTTATTTGGCACTAAGTCTAATAAGGTTGAAAAAACTGTTATATTATTAATTATACTTAAGTTATAATAATAATTTTTATAGATTTTGCATATTAATTTTGTATACTTTATTAAAAATATAAATATTTACTAATTAATATTTATTATATAAGATAAGTATATATATTATTAACTCTTTCTGCAGATTACTTATACCAAATTTTTGCTAAAAACATTTAATTATTTCTAAATATTTTATTAAGTTAATCTTATTTGTATCATTAAATAAAGTTGTTCAGCACACTTTTCTGCTCCTAGGTGGCCAAGTTTTAAGTTCCAATAATTTCTGGCCACTGAGAAAAGTTACAAAACCAATATTTTGGTTTTTGCTTATTTGTTCTAAATTTTACTAATTAAATATACTCTGCTCATTATTAGTTATTT